GTTGGTTGTTTCTTTGAGGTGGGCCATGTCCCTGCAGTAGCACTTCCTTTACTTGGATATTTTTCTCTCCATCTTTCTGTCATGTAGGAACTCTTGGTTCTGCACATGCACTGGATTTTTGCAGTTACATTTACTTGGGTATAAAAATGGGACAAACTCAGATATGCTTTTAGGGCCATCTTCCCAAAGGAAAGCCAGAAAAAACTTGCTATGCACACTTGGATAAATTCAGCATCTTTTTAAAAATAGGTCTCTTCTATCTCAGTATCATCATTTTCAACAGAAACTAAACACTTGAACTCTAGTGTCTCTCCAACAAGTTTCTTTTTATGCTTGAAAAAAATGAGTGCTTGTCGTATCCCACTATCTGAAGGAGTTTCTTCTTAACACTTTTGGTTTTCAGTTATGTCTAACAGGTAATCTGTTGTGTTTGAGCTCAATTCATGACTTTGAATTGGGGCAATTTATATAGATGTATATAAATCACACAGATTTATACATCATATAGTGGGTCTCCTCTCCCATGCTCTCATATGTCAGTCATCATCCTGTCCTGAAATTACTTTCAGTGATTGTCTTGTTATCTTGCAAGCCAAAGAATGATGTCATTGACATAGTTCTCCTGAGATTGTTGCTTCTTCAGATGGTTTTGTATTTGGACTGGGACAAGTAAAAGCAGAGAGAAAATTGCAATATGAGGCTTAGGAAAGGTAAAACATCTGGATTTGCAGCTTTCCAAAAGCTTAAGATGTCACCTCCACGATCATGTGGAGAGGAAGGTTTCTTAAAATATTTAAGCATATAAAAGTGTCAGCAATAAACTTTACTTAAATGATTGAAGGTGTTCAATTTAAGGTTGCGTATGGTATCATCTTCCGTTAGTAACAAGAATTGTGCTAAAACTGATGGTTTGGTTATCCCTTGTAAGGGAGTACTCATTGATGAGTGAGGAAAGGTTTTGCAGATAGGTAATGAGGTTTTGTTTTGTCACAAATCTGGACTGAATGGTGCAATAATTTCACTTCTAAGTGATTTATCCTTCAGCCTTGTTTACATACTACAACAATACTTCTTCATACTACCACAGTGTTTACAGTGATACTGATGGATGCATAATGGAAGATATTTCTTCTATTTCAGGCTGATGTGTCCAGGGCTTATGATACCATTCCTCACAATAAACTTGTGGAAGTGATTTCACGGATCTTAAACCCTGAGAAAAGAACTGTCTACTGCATACGGCGCTATGCCGTGATTATGATTACTACAAGTGGAAAAGCCAGGAGGTTCTATAGGAGACATGTATGACTTGCTGATTTCTTCTGTTTGCTGCTGTAGATATATTTTGGTCCAAGGAATTTTTTGTTTATCGCCTTTTTTTCAGTCGCAATTTGAATTAGGCAAATACTCATAAACCCTTTTTTAATAGTGGTGGATAGTTTCCAGAGGTAGCAAATCTTCTTTTTGCTCTATACTTTTTATACTTTTTACTCAACATTAGTAAGAATAAAGATAAATGTGTTGTGGAAATAGAGATATATGAGGGAGATACTTCATTTTAACAGTAGCAGAATTGTTGAATTAAAATAATGCAATAAGGCTGGCCCTTTGACCTTCACTGAATAAAACAGTCTGGTACTGAATTTTCTATTGCTTTTGTCATTTATTTCTTTACACTCAATATACAGGTTTCTACTTTCAAGGACTTTATGCCAGACATGAAGCAGTTTGTGTCCCAGCTTCAGGAGAATGCCTCATTACAAAATGCAATAATAGTTGAACAGGTAAATATTGGGAGGCTTCTTTTCAGTTGAAAAAGCAAGCTACGGAAGCATTGGAGGAAGATTGGGATTTTTAATTGAATGTACGTATTATGTGGTGATACCACCCCGCTTCTAGTTAACCAGCACCTTCCAGAGAAAGATTTTTTTTTTGATATTTTTTTCTTTTTCCTTTCTTAATTCCATTGTTTGTTGCAACAGTTCTCAAGTGAGAAGTTACATATGAAGTAAAGAAGGGCTTCAACACTTGCTATCTCCAAAATGTGCAGAAGTAGGAATAAGCAAAATATATTCTAAGCTAAGTAGCTAAGGAAATAGATGTGGTATATTCAATAGCAAATGGCATAGAATAGAAAAATGGCTTTTTTTTTTTTTTAAAAGGAAAAAAAAAAGCAGCTTATTTTAATGATTACCTGCCAAGGTTGATAAGAATGAACTCTTCTTTAGAGGGGTTAAAATGCAATGCAAAACAAGATCAACTCATATTTTTTTGTTTAAAGAGATTTCTCACTTTCAGTGAATTAAAGTACAGTTAAAAATGACATGTATTTTAAATTTACTCCAACTGATGCTTTGTTGAAAGAAGCAAGCATCCTTCTGTTGTTTTAATTCTTCTGCTGCAGAGATCTATACTAATTCCAAATGTTTGTTCTCAAGACTTCCTTCTGCACAAGGAGAAAGGCATAGGAGTAGGTGCTATGCTCAATCAGTTTCTTAATACATTTTATTGCTTGACATCATGGTGTTCCATGATAGCAACCTACAAGATTCCCAAGCATCAGATGACCAGACAGGTATTTTCTCACAGGCTACTTCCTCTTTAGAATTTTTTTTTTTCTAAACTTGCCAGTGGAAAATTTTGACGTAAGGTAATTTACCCTTCTAACATACAAGTAAAATGATCTCATATATCTATGGACATAAGAGTAGAATACACAGTGTGAGTGGTGCACAATTCCAGGATCCTACAAAGTGCAGAGAGCCTAACGAGCAGATGGATGAAAATGAAAACTAGCTGGATCTCTCATGATGTGTATGTAGCTTTTGATTTGTTCTTTTTTCCTGTAGATGTCTGATTTAGATAACTATGCTAGATGTTACATGAACAGCAGCATTCTATTTCAAAGTATTTTACATTTGAAAGCAATTTGTGTATGTGATTACTTCAAAAAAAAAAAAAAGTATTCTGAGAAAAGTATCATGTCAGCCTCGGTGTCTGTACCACAGGTTTATCATGTTAGCTTTTCAATACAAATAACCATGATCTCTCATGGCTCTTGTCAAAAGCTAGGTGCATGTGTCTAATATCTGATGTATGCAAATGGGAAGTAATTTTGTTTTAGTTCTCATGAAGTCATTGTTAAAGGAGTTTAAACTGCTCTAAATTCATTTTTTATTACACAATGTTTAACAAAAAAAGCTTCCTAAATATTGAGTGGACAGACACACATGGAATCATTGGTAATATGTGGCAAGGAATGTGTTTTGCAGCAGAACTGGCAAATGAGTGTCTATACTTGGGGAATCGTAAAGAACATGACAGTTACAGAAATTGTCCTACAGGATAGAAAGTGGCCAAAAGAGCAAGATCTCATACATTGTAGTAATCCAATGTAATATACCACTACTTAAAAAAGTGTTTTAGGTGTTATATTTGACTATTTTCCTGTGTAACACCAATCAAAACTGCTTTTCTCCTAAAGCAAAACAAAAAAGGAACCGCACCATTCACTTGTTGGATGTAAGCAACTTTTTAGCGTGTATGTTCAGATCTTCATTTTAGGGTTTTTTTTCTTACCTCAGGGGTTTGATCTACTACAGTCTAGTTTTTCATAAAGGATTCTGTGTATCTTTTAAGTTTATGCTGTATTTCTAGTTTTAGTACATTTCTAAAGTACCAATCTTGTTTTGTTTTGTCCCATTTCTAGAGCTTAACTTTTAATGAGACAAGTTCTAGCCTGTTTACTTTTTTTCTTCAAATGATACATAACAACATCCTGGAGATTGGGAGCAGGTAAAAAAGAAGTTAGTTTTTCTTTGTATAATGTGTTTGGTTTTTTTGGTTGGTGGTTCTTTTCTGTAAAGCAGGATATTTATAATGGGCTCAGAAGACTTTTGATAGCTATCTTTTAACGATTTTTATTTCATATTAATTTGAAATTTGTTTATCAGTTTAAAAGCACAAAGAATTTGGAATCAAATTTACATTGAATAAAATTTCTATTTCTCACCTGGATCGTGTTAACTATACACAGCATGCATTATTCTATAAATGTGTAACCTTCTTCATTTAAAACTGAAGATGTAGTTGAAAAGAAAAATTCTTTGAAATATTGGGATCCATAGTGATAAACAAAAGCAAGGTAATATCCAAGCAATCAATCAAAAGCCTTGTTAGTAATTTCCTGTAGTACAAAATCAAACCTTTTCTGCATGGCCTTGCTATTGGCAAATTACAATAAAAATAAAAGGCAATAACAATAGGAATTAAAATTATTGGCAACTCCAAAATTAGGATTCAGATGTTATTGAGGGTAGTAATGCAGATTTCTTCTTGTGTTGCTAGAGATACTGATCTGGTATTTAGATTTTGCCTCTAGGTGGCAAATGTGTACCATGTCTAGAAAGCAAGTACTTAGATGATCTTTATTTGTAAATTCAGAGTGAGGTAAATTAGAATGAATAGCTGCTTGTTCTTCAAAAACCACCTTTATTTTAGAATAGTTAATCTCACAGGATTGAGGGAAGGGAAGAAAAGCTTTCAAGGAGGCAAATAGAAGAACGTTTATAGATTTTTCTGGCATTGATGCTTACACTCCATTTGGCAGGATCATGAGAATGGTGACGTGGCATGCCATTAATAAGCACTAACTGACATCAGTATGTTTAATAAAAGTTTAATGATTTTAAAGAAAGTACACCCTGACAAACCCAACTTCACACTTATTTAAATTCAGTCACAGCTTGGCTGAAAAAATGCTGTTTGTCCTGGAATGAATTGCCCTTTTTAAGTAGCTCATTCTCATTTGTTCAGAAAAACCCCCAAAACTGCAAATAAGTTTAGTAAATGAATACACTCTCTAACAGATGGTTTTCAAAAACCCATCACAGTTAGTCAACATTCACTTGATGTTTTGAGAAAAATGATGATTGTTGAACGGGACACCTAGAAGGGATCTTTTAATACCATTTGATACCTTTATCGAAAGTCTGGGAAAATGTAAAATTGCTGCCAGAAAAAATTGCAGATTACTTAAAACATGGGTAAGATCAGTGCCAGAATGTAGTATGTGGCTCTGGTATCCAGCTGCATACTTTCGTTCTCTTCAGTTTCCCTAAGCCATTCATGTTGTAGTGGTAAAATGGACATTATAGTATAATAATTCAAAAGAGTGTTGTGAAAATAATTCCCTTGGGTTTTATGAGGCATACTAATTCTGTTGCTGCCAACATAGAAAAATCTACAATGTAATGGGGAATGCTGTCTTCAGTAGCTTATCTAGATGTGATACATTACTATTACTGTGTATGGTCTTACTGACTTTATACAAGTAACAAGATTGGGAAGTATTAATGAACCTCCCCCTGGCTATGTCTGTGTGAATTCTTTGAAGCAGTGAGAAACAAATCAAGGTTTACTCTTTTGCAAAATGACAACTGACAACTTTGGTGACCTTTTCAAGTGGCGAGGGAGGAGGTCGAGTATAATTATAAATAATAAGGGTTAGCATTTCACAGGATGTAGTGTTTTTTTTCTAATTAGAACTAAGATAGCTTCATGCCTGAGCAGTTAAATGAGGAATTAAATGTGATTTACAGTATAGCTGGGATGTATAAAACCAGATCACATGCTCTGTTGGGCTAAGCCATCAGAAATTTCCCTAAAACTAAAGTGATTTTTTTTG